ACAGTAAAAATATTGAAACTGCAATATTCTCTCTAGATGCAGAAAAAGCTTTTGATAGAGTTAACTGGACATTTTTATTTGCAGCCTTACATAAATTTGGTTTTGGAAATTATTTCATAAATTGGTTACAAATATTATACAGTTCTCCTTCAGCATGCATTAGGACAAACAATCAAATATCTGCTAGTTTTGCTCTGCAAAGGGGAACCAGGCAGGGATGTCCACTCTCCCCCTCACTGTTTGCTATTTTCATCGAACCGCTAGCCGCAGCAATCAGGCAAACTACAGATATTAAAGGCATAAAATGCAAGAACAGAGAGCACAAAATCAGTCTATATGCTGATGATGTGCTGCTCTTCCTCCGGCATTCACAAACCTCCATCTCTCAGGTTATTGGACTGATAAACTCATTCTCAAAAGTTTCAGATTACTCTATAAACTGGCTAAAATCCACAGTTCTACCAATTAATTGCTCTTTCAACAATTCACTTACTACACAACTGCAATCAGGGAATATTACATATTTGGGTATCAAAGTTTCGCCTAATTTAGCAGATTTAACAAAACTAAACCACACCCCACTTTTAAAGAAAATTGAGGATGATCTGGCTAGATGGAAATCTTTACCCATATCTCTCATGGGAAGGATCGCATCAATAAAAATGATGGTTTTGCCTAGAATAAATTATTTATTCTCAATGATCCCAAATAAACCATCATCTGACTGGTTTAGATCCCTGGACTCCTCTATTTCTAAATTTCTGTGGAAAGATAAACGCCCTCGTATTAGATTAAAAACACTACAGAAATCCAAAGATAAAGGAGGACTAGAATTACCCAACTTTTATTATTATTTTCTAGCCAACAGGCTAGAATACATCTCAAGATGGATAAAACACACACCCCTTGATGAACCCTGGCTAGACGTAGAACAGACACTTTGCAATAATATAATGATCTCGGACCTTCCATTCATTAGCTCAAACATAAAACGACAGGAATGCTTTAAAAGCATCAATATCAGCTCCTCTCTGACAGCTTGGTGGGAGTTTCTTAAAATGACAGAGTCTTCACTAATCCCATGTAAACGTACACCCATCTGGAACAACCCTGACATCCTACAACAGAATAAGATGATAAACTTCCCAGGTTGGAGGTGTAAAGGAATTGAATATTTGGAACATATATATGAAGAAGTGGACTACATCCCATTTAACAGATTAATTACACAATATGGGATTGATAAGAATAAATTTTTAGAATATCAACAAATTAAATCTATAACCATAAATAAATTTAACCTTAATAACACTAGGATTGAAATGTCAACAAGTGTATTAGAATTCCTTAATCTTAACCCTCCCAAATTACTATCTAAGGTTTATCAGAAACTCAGTAAAATAGATGAAGCTATATCTCTTCCCATTGTAAAATGGGAGACAGACTTGTCAGTTAATTTTGACCAAAACTTTTGGTCGCAGATCTGTCTGAGAACTTTTAAGATGACTAAAAACTCGAATTTACAACTAATACAATACAAAATCCTTCATAGAGTACACTATACAGGTCAACGGATGTTCAGGATGGGTTTCGCATCATCTAATATTTGCTCACAGTGTACAGACAATATTCCGGACAATTACATCCACGCATTTTGGTTCTGTCCACCTGTTCAGAGGTTTTGGTGCCGGATATGTGAAGACTTATCAAAGTGTCTGAGATGTAATATTCCACTCTCTCCGTCAGTTTGCTTATTGGGCCACTTAGATGATGTCACCTTGGAGACAAAATCAATTCATATTATTCTCATTGCCCTATGTATAGCAAAGAAAACTATACTCATGAATTGGAAAAATAAAAATACACTTAGTATTAAACAGTATAAAGACCTTCTGTTAGATTACATCAGTCTTGAGACAGCCTGTACCCCCACATCGGACTATTCTCTCTGGACTTCTTTAATCGGCTCCAACACGTAGTGGAGGTGGGTGGTCCCCTTTGATTCTGTCCCGTGGGGCATGGTGGTCGGTGTGGGTGGGGTGTCGGGGCTGGGGACGTGGGGGGGGTCATGGGCCTGGAGCGGTGGCGCCCGACTGGGGAGGTGGCTCTGGTGGTTCTGGGTGATGGCCTGTGCTGGCTGCATGCGGGCTTCTGGGCGGTCTGTACCGGCGGACATGGGTTACTGGCCTGGTGACCTGGCTGTCCCTGGGTGGGTCTGGGGTGGACGCGGGCACGGGTTCTGGGGTGGTATCGCTCCTGGGCGGGGTTCCCGGCTTGGTCCGGGGATCTCGGGCCTTGACAGGTATGTTGCCGGGGTCTTGGGCCGGCGGGTGCGCCGGCGCCCGGCCCTGGCCTTGGGGCCTTCGGTG